AAATTATCATGCTCAATATTACTTAATAGCAAAGAAGGTAATGATATTATTCGTGCTCTGTCCAAAAACTGTAAGGGATATTCAGCCAAAGTTTGTCACATCAATTTTCATATTATAAAAGTGGTTTTGTAGAATCATAGAATTGTTTAGGTTTCAATATTACTTAATAGCAAAGAAGGTAATGATATTATTCGTGCTCTGTCCAAAAACTGTAAGGGATATTCAGCCAAAGTTTGTCACATCAATTTTCATATTATAAAAGTGGTTTTGTAGAATCATAGAATTGTTTAGGTTAGAAAAGACCTTTAAGATCATTGAGTCCAACAATATGTTAATTATATCCCAATGGGTGAAAGAAAAGAGAGAGTGGTACTAGTATTTTGTCTGTGAGGATACAATTTCTCACAGATCTTGACCACTGCAAAGAAATACTAATTAGCCCAAAACAGAGAAATGCTCTATGCATTTCTGTCAAGGATCAGGTTAGGAAAGCTAATGCCCTGATAGAATTAAATCTGGCCAGGGCCATCAAGGGCAACAAGATAAAAGGAAGTGATAAAAGGAAGACTAGGGAAAATGGGAGCCCTCTCTGGAAGGACATGGAAGACCTGGTTACCCAGGATATGGAGAAGGCTGAGGGTACTTGATCACTTCTTTGCCTCCATCTTTAGTGGCAAGTGCTTCAGCCACACTGCCCAAGTCACAGAAGGCAAAAGGAGTGGGAGAATGAAGAACCACCCAATGTAGGAGAAAATCGGGTCCAAGCAAATGTAAAGAACCTAAAGGCACACAAGTCCATGGGACCTGATGACATGCAACCACAGGTCCTGAGGAAACTGGCAGATGAAGTTGCTAAGCCACTTGAGTTGGGGTTGTTAAGCCTGGAAAAGAGAAGGCTCTGGGGAGACCTTACAGCAGCTTTCTAGTACCTAAAGAGAGCCTACAACACAGCTGGAGAGGGACTTTTTACAAGGGCATTTAGTGATAGGACAAGGAGGAATAGCTTTAAACTGACAGAGGGTAGGTTTAGATTAGACATTAGGAAGAAATTCTTTACTGTGAGGGTGGCAAGGCACTGGAACCGATTTGCCTAGAGAAGCTGTGGGTGTCCCACCCCTGGAAGTAGTCAAGGCCAAGCTGGATGGGGCTTTGAGCAACCTGGTTTAGTGGAACTTGACCCTGCCCACAGCAGAGGGGTTGGAACTAGATGATCTTCAAGGCTGCTTCTAACCCAACCCATTCTATGATTCTATATGTGTGATTCATGATAAGAAGGAAAAAAAAACAAAACCAGAACAGCTTAAGGCCTTACAAAAGTATGTACAATCAGATTGCTATTTAGCAGAAGAACAGCAAAAATTTCCATAAGAATGTAAAAATCAGAGTGCATTCATTTACAGTCTTCCTTTTAAGCAGTCACCCATTTTTAACCCGTTTGACATTTTAGAAAAAGCATACAGCACTTTAATACACATATTACCTGTTTTTCTGATTAGAAATCTCTGCTCATTTGCTTTTTGGAGTTATGTCAGCTCCACAGCAATGAACAGTTTGACAAGATACAGTTCAGAGACAAGCATCTGAAGGACTGATGTGCCTGTCTTTTCACCCTGCTTCCCACCAACACACACAATACTTTGAGTTCAGGCAAGTCTGAAGTCTTTGAAGTATGCAAAGAGTAACAGGCAAACTGCTGTTAGCTTTTGTGGGGCTGACAGTGAGACCACCAAGGGTTAGGCATGCCTGGGTATTACAGTAAAGGACTAAAACCTACTAGCATGGTAGAGAATGTCTCTCTCAGCACAGGATGTCAAATGGTTACTACTGAGGAAATTATGGGGAATTGGGGTATATTAATAGCACCTTTACTCTTCCTTTCCAAAAATAAAACAACAAAACAACCCACAAAAAACCTTAAGTTTTTCAAAAGTTTGGAACAAATCTCAAGTAGATTTCATAGAAGCTGAATGTTTAAAATTTAAATTCCTAAGAAATGCTTAGTTTAAAAGTATGTGTTTTTCAAGTCTAGAGCAGTGAAGGTGCTAGGTCATCAACAGATGTGAAGAGAAAGAAAGCTCATCTTAAAGTACTGAAATTCAGTGAAGAATAAGCTGCACCTATTCATAGTATCCTTTCTACCAAAACTAGTCTTGGTATTAATGGGAGCATTCCAATAATTATTAAAAACACCACTGAATGAATCAGACAGGTTTGAGTCACATACAAGACAGCACTTCTTCCATGGAAAGCAATAGGTAACCTCAACAGATAATGGATGCAGCACTTATTAAGAGCTTACATGCAGACACTTGCCACAGGCCAGTTGGCACTTCAGCTCATAGATGTAATCTTCTAGGAGACAAGGACTAGGTTCTTGTAATTACTGTACAATACACTTCACCTCATCCACAACCTGTGTTTCCAGGTAAAAATTGCAAGTAATTTCTTGCAGAAGCACTGTCCTGGTCTGCAGCTGATGGGCGTGAATGGTGATGTGGCTCTTCAGGCTGACAAACGCCTCAGTGGCAGGAAGGCAGAAAACACCAAGGAAAAGACATACCCCAAGTTCTTGCTGTTGCTTCCGGCATCTAGCGTTATTTCGTCAGTTTCAATAAATCCAGCAAACTGGATTTAAACACAGTCTGAAAGCCTTTTCAAGGGGCATTTAACAAGTATGATTTGGAAGTGACATCTTTTTATCAACAGACTTACAAAGATCAAGTATTTGAGATACAGAGGTTCTTTTTGAAGGCTCTCTTGAAAGCATCTTTTTGATTGTGGATGCCTGCAAAAAAACCCCCAAAACATGTCAATAGATTATTTTATGAGTAAATAAACTAACCAAAGTAATGTATTAAAATCTCATACCTTTGTTTTAAATTGGTCAGTGAAGCTCTTTGGAAGTTGTCCTTCTCTAATATTAGGCCATATCTGAAATTCATGAAACAGTTTCAGTATGCTTTCATTGATTATATTTTGCATCTCTACTTTATGACCCATTTGTTTACTGAAGTAATTGGGAAACCACAAATCTACAAAAAAAGGTAAGGCTTCAAAAAGTAACTGTAAACAGTTGGAAAGTTTTTTTTCAATTTAGTTGTACTTTATTTTGGTTTTATGACCTTTTCATCAACTATTGTCCCTTCCTAAGCATAAAAGCCTCACACTCCACATTGCGGTGTTTGTTTCAGCAGTTCTCTGTTTCAGAACAATTACCCATTTTTCCTTAATTTAAACGTAGTGGATTTATATCTTCTTACCACATTAAAAGAAAAGAAAAAAACAAGACGACTTAATTTTCTGCTTTGGATGTTAGTGTTTGCAAGACAAGCAGGTGTGCTTCCTCCCTTTTACCATGTTCAGTACCACAGACTTCTAGCTAACTGCAGAAGATGCTACATGGAGCTCAAGCAACAAACATAAAGAGGATTTCTAATTACATGCTTCTGAAACTGGCTTTTGGCAACAATTATGTTTTTGTATATGGCGCTGTCTTTCACAATAACCTTGGGGCAAACTCAGGAAATGCAAGTTGGGTGAGTGGGCAGTGAGGTGGATTGAGAACTGGCCGAACAGCAGGTCCCAGAGGATTGTATCAGTGACACAGGGTCTAGATAGAGGCATGGCACTAGTGGTGTCCCCGAAGGTTCACTCCTGGGCCCATATTCTTTTAACTTGTTCATCAGTGACTTGGGTGAAGGGTAGATGGCTCCTCCTTCACACAAAGCTGAAGGAGTGGCCAATATCTCAGGGGGCTGTGCTGCTGTTTATAAGAATCTCAACAGGCTGGAGAGATGGGCAGAGAGGAACCTTCTGAAATTCAACAAAAGCAAACATAGAGTCCTGCACTTGAGGAGCAATAACCCCCTGCACCAGTTCAGGCTGGGGGCTGACCTGCTGGAAAGTAGCTCTGTGGAGAAGAATGGGGGGTCCTGGACAAGCTGTCCCTGAGCCAGCACTGAGCCAGCGCCCTGGTGGCCAAGAAGGCCAGTGGTATCCTGGGCTGCTTTAGGAAGAGCATTGCCAGTGGGTTGAGAGAGGTGATCCTACCCCTCTACTCAACCCTGCTGAGACCTCATCTGGAGTACTGTGTCCAGTTCTTGGCTCTGCAGTAGGGGAGAGACATGAAGCTCCTGGAGTGGGTCTGCTTTAGGAAGAGCATTGCCAGTGGGTTGAGAGAGGTGATCCTACCCCTCTACTCAACCCTGCTGAGACCTCATCTGGAGTACTGTGTCCAGTTCTTGGCTCTGCAGTAGGGGAGAGACATGAAGCTCCTGGAGTGGGTCTAGCAGAGGGTAACAAAGATGATTAAGGGACTGGAGCATCTCTCTTGGGAGAATAGGCTGAGAGCTCAGCCTATTCAGCCTCAAGAAGAGGCGACTGAGAGGGGACCTCATCAGTATCTCCAGG